TTTCAAAAATAAGGATTACACTAGAATTGAAGGCAATGAAATAGTCTAATAAAACCATTATAAGATTTTTGTTATACTTCACAATTTTACACAACACTTTCATGTACATTATCTGGGGTAACACAGTGAAGCTGCACATCACTCTCATTTTAAAGATTGGTACTTTAATATTTTCAGAAACTTACTCAAAGCCACATTGTCTTGGGGATAGAAATCCAACTCTCAGCCCTTATTTGGTATGAGCATTAAGTGGTTTACTTGTATTAGAATTACCTGCTTATTATCACTGTATTACATTTTTGTTTATGTGTCATTCCTGCTAAGACTATAGCAGCAGGGATTATATCTGCCTCTAGCCATCTCCATAGGACCATCACCTGACACTGTATATTTTTATAATAGGTGCTCAAAAAATGTCTGTTGGATGTTAGCTCAGGGACAATCTTCCTCAAGCAAAAAGACAAAGATTGGCAACAGATGTTAGCTTAGGGTCAATCTTCCTCACCAAAAAAAAAAACAAAAAAAGCTTTTGGAGTGACATCAGCATCATGGTGGAGTGAGCTCTTCCCTTAGACTCTCCCCACTAAGATACAATGAAAAGGACACTCATACACCAACAGAGGACATTCACACAACACAACAGAAGTCTGAGAGATGCCCGCAGCTATACGTCCGAAGGTGGAGGTGTTGGACCTCCTAGGAGGCAGTGGAAGGATGTAAGGCGATATTCTCTCCCTCCCAGAACGGCAGTGATTTAGGGTGTGGTATTGCGCACGGCTCTAAGAGGAGAGGGGAGAAAGGGCAGCCCTCTGCGGGAATGCCTTCACTCTTGGAGTTGCCTCCCAGCCCCTGGGAATGCTCCACACCAAGGAGGCTAAGCAATTGTGGGGGCGTCTTCACCAAGCCAAGCAGCCCAGGAGGACAGACAACGAGTGCAGAGTGGGAGCACCTCCAGGATCATGCACGCAAAAGAAAGCACCCCTCTCCACGCCTGATACACCAGTTCAGCCAGTTAGCCAGAGCAAGGGACCCCCTCACCAGAGCACCTGTGAACCTAAGTGTGTAAAGCAGCGGCAGCCAGCAGGCAAACGCACACAGGCCCTATCAGCACAGCGTCCAAAGGACAGGCACAGCTGCCAGGGATCGTGGTAGGCTCAGAACACACAGCTCCTGCCCACCACCAGTGGCAGCAGGTGGAATCTGCAACCAGATACTACCACTATACAGCGGCACAAATCCACCCCGTCAAACAGTATGAAGAGGTATATTAACACTCTAGACCAGAAGGGAAATGACAAGTACCCAGAAATCAATCCTGAAGTCACAGAATTTACAATCTAAATGACAGAGAACTCAAAACAGCTATCAGAAAAAAAAAACTCAACGAGTTACAAGAAAACTCAGAAAGACACTTCAATGAAATCAGGAATAAAATTTATGAACAGAGGGAATTCTTCACAAACGAGAGTTAAACAATTAAAAAAAATCAGAAATGTTGGATATGAAAAAACACAACGAAAAGACAAAGAAAAATGTGGAGTCCTTAAATAACAGAGCTGGTATTATGGAGGACAGAATTAGCAATTTAGAGGCTAGAAATAGAGAAATGCTTCACACGGAGGAGGAGAGAGAACTAAGACTAAAAAGAAATGAAGAAATTCTCTGAGAAACATCTGACTCGATTAGGAAATGCAACATAAGGGTTACAGGTATTCCAGAGGGAGAACGGAGAGAGAAAGGAGCAGAGAGCTTGTTCAAAGAAATAATAGCTGAGAAATTCCCAAACCTGGGGAAGGAGGTGGAATTACAATTAAATGAAGCTAACAGAATTATTTAATTCTGTTATATCAATGTAAAAAGACTTTCTCCAAAGCACATATCAGTAAAGCTGGCAAAAGCCAATGACAGAAAACATATTAAAGGCAGCAAGGCAGAAGAAAATAACCTACAAAGGAAGCCCTATCAGGTTTTCAGCGGATTTCTCAGCAAAAACCTTAGAGGCTAGCAGAGAGTTGAATGATATATTCAAAATTCTGGAAAACAAAAATTTCAGCCAAGAATACTCTATCCAGTGGAAATATCATTCACATATGACTGAAGAAATGAAAATGAAAGAGAAATAAAAACATTCTCAGATAAGCAAAATCTGAGGTAGTTCATCACCACAAGACCCTCCCTACAAGAAATGATCAAGAAGGCCCTCATACCTGAAAAAAAAAAAAAAAGGTTTACAAGGCCTTGAGCAAGGAGAGAAACAGACAGACAAAATCAGAAATTTGCAGCGCTCTATCAGAACAGGTTAGCAAACACCTAACTATAACATTAAAGATAAAGGGAAGGAAAACATCAAAAATAAATATAATCACCTCATTTTAACTACAAACTCAAAACACAAAATGGATAAGTTGTGACAACAATAACTTAGATGGGGAAAAGGAAAGGGATGGAAACTGCTTAGAGGAAGGAAAAAAGAGGCTGTGAGAAAATGGACTTTCTCAACTGTGAGAATTTTTATACAAACCTCACAGTAACTACTAAAGAAAAAATCAGCACAGAGACACGAATGATAAGTAAGGAGAAAACTGAGAAAACCATCATAGAGAACCACCAAACTGAACTGGCAGTCTGAGTTTGGACAAGAAACAGGACAAGAAACAAAGGAAATGCAGAACACTCAGAAAAAAGGAAATAAAATGGCAGTATTAAGCCCTCATATATCAATAACCACTTTAAATGTAAATGGATTGAATTCTCCCATCAAAAGACACAGAGTGGCTAGATGGAGTGAAAAACAAGACACAACAATATGCTGCCTCCAGGAAACACATCTCAGCTCTGAAGACAAAAACAGGCTCAGAGTAAAGGGATGGAAGACAATACTCCAAGCCAACGGCAAACAAAAGAAAGCAGGCGTTGCCATACTTATAACAGACAAAATAGACTTCAAGATAAAAAAGGCAATAAGTGACAAAGAGGGGCAGTATATAATGATAAAAGGGACACTCCACCAAAAGGACATAACACTAATAAACACATATGCACCAAACAGAGGAGCACCAAAGTACATAAAGCAACAATTAACAGACCTAAAAGGAGAAATTAACAGCAACACAATAACAGAAGGGGACCTCAACAACCTACTTACATCAATGGACAGATCATCCAAACAGAAAGTCAACAAGGAAATAGTGAAATCAAATGAAAAACTAGACCTGATGGACTTAATAGATATATATAGAACACTCCATCCAAAAATAGAAGGATACACATTCTTCTGAAGTGCACATGGAACATTCTCATTCTCAAAGATAGACCATATGCTGGGAAACAAGGCAAGCCTCAATAAATCTGAGAAGATTAAAATCATAGGAAGTGTCTTTTCTGACCATAATGTTATGAAACTAGAAATCAACTACAAGAAAAAAGCTAGGAGAGTGACAAATACGCAGAGCCTAAACAATATGCTACTGAACAACCAATGGATCATTGCAGAAATTAAAGGAGAAATCAAAAAATATCTGGAGACAAGTGAAAATGAAAATATACCATCCTAACTCTTATGGGATGCAGCAAAAGCAGTCCTAAGAGGGAAATTCATAGCAATACAGGCCCACTTTAACGAACCAGAAAAATCTCAAAAAAGCAATCAAACTACACCTAACAAAACTAGAAAAATGAGAATGAAGGTCAAAGTCAGCAGAAAGAGGGAAATAATAAAAATTAAAGCAGAAATAAATGAAATTAAAACAAACAAACAAAAAAACAGTAGAAAGGATCAATGAAACAAAGAGCTGGTTCTTTGAGAAAAACAAAATTGACAAACCCTTAGCCAGACTCACTAAGAAAAAAAGAGAGAAGGCTCACATAAATAAAACTAGAAAGGAAAGAGAAGAAATTACAACAGATACACAGAAATACAAAGGATTATAAAACAATACTATGAAAAATTATATGCCAACAAATTGGACAATCTAGAAGAAATGGATAAATTCTTAGACTCATACAACTTCCCAAAACTTAATCAAGAAGAAGTACAGAATCTGAATAGACCAATCACAAGTAAAGAGATTGAAACAGTAATCAAAAATTTCCCGAAAAACAAAAGTCCAGGACCACATGGCTTCTCTGGAGAATTTTACCAAACATTCAAAGAAGATTAAATACCTATCCTTCTCAAACTATTCCAAAAAACTGAAGAACACGGAACACTTCCTTATCATATTCTACAAGGCCACATCACCCTGATACCAAAGCCAGATAAGCACAACACAAAGAAGGAAAATTACAGGCCAATATCACTGATGAACATAGATGCAAAAATACTCAACAAAATATTGGCAAACCAAATACAGCAATACATTAAAAGGATCATACACCAAGATCAAGTGGGATTTATATCAGGGATGCAAGGACAGTTCAACATCCACGAACCAATCGATGCAATACACCACGTTAACAAAATGAGGAATAAAAACCATATGATCATCTCAACAGATGCTGAGAAAGCATGTGACAAGATCCAACATCCATTTATGATAAAAACTCTCAGTAAAATGGGTATAGAAGGAAAGAACCTCAACATAATAAAGGCCATATATGACAAACCCAAAGCAAACATCATACTCAACAGGGAAAAATTGAAAGCCATCTCTCTGAGAACAGCAACAAGACAATGGTGCCCACTCTTGCCACTCTTATTCAACATAGCACTGAAAGTTTTGGCCAGAGCAATTAGGCAAGGAAAAAAATAAAAGGTATCCAAATTGGCAAGGAAGAAGAGAAACTCTCACTGTTTGCAGACGACATGATTTCATATATAGAAAACCCTAAAGAATCCATCGGAAAACTATCAGAAATAACCAACAACTACAGCAAAGTTGCAGGGTACAAAATCAACTTACAAAAATCAGTTGCATTTCAGGGCTGGCCCTGTGGCATAGTGTTAAGTTCGCACACTCCGCTTTGGCGGCCAGGGGTTCACAGGTTTGGATCCCAGGCACAGACCTATGCACCGCTTATCAAGCCATGCTGTGGTGGCATCCCATATAAAGTAGAGGAAGATGGGCATAGATGTTAGCCCAAGGCCAATCTTCCTCCTTTTGCTGAGCTAATATCTGTTAGCTCAGAGCTATCCTTCCTCACACACACACACACAAAAATCAGTTGCATTTCTATACTCTAATTACCAACTAACGGAAAGAGAACTCCAGAATACAATCCCATTTACAATCACAACAAAACGAATAAAATATCTAGGAATAAATTTAATCAAGTAGGTCAAAGAGCTGTACAATGAAAACTATAAGACATTATTGAAAGACTGATGATGACATAAAGAAATGGAAGGATATTCCATGCACATGGATTGGAATAAAAAAACATAGTTAAAATGTCCATACTACCTAAAGCAATCTACAGATTCAATGCAATCCCAATCAGAATCCAATGATATTATTCACAGAAATAGAACAAAGAATCCTAAAATTCATATGGGGCAACAAAAGACCCCAAACAGCTAAAGCAATCCTGAGAAAAAAGTACAAAGCTGGAGGCATCACAATCCCTAACTTCAAAATATACTACAAAGCAATAGTAATCGAAACAGCATGGTACTGGTACAAAAACAGACACACAGATCAATGGAACAGAATTGAAAGCCCAGAAATAAAATCACACATCTGCAGAAAGCTAATCTTTGACAAAAAAACCAAGAACATACAATGAAGAAAGGAATGTCTCTTCAATAAATGGTGCTGGCAAAACTGGACAGCCACATGCAAAAGAATGAAGTTGGACCATTATCTTTCACCGTACACAAAAATTAACTCAAAATGGATTAAAGACTTGAAAGTAAGACGTGAAACCACAGAACTCCTAGAAAAAAATATAGGCAGTATACTCTGACATTGCTCTTAGAAGGATCTTTTCAAATAGCATGTCTACTTGGACAAGGGAAAGAAAAGAAAAAATAAACAAATGGGACTTCACCACACTAAAGAGCTTCTGCAAGTCAAAGGAAACCAGGAACATAACGAAAAGACAACATACTAACTGCAAATCACGTATCCGACAAGGGGTGAATCTCCAAAATATATAAAGAACTCATACAACTGAACAACAAGAAACAAACAACCCGATCAAAAAATGGGCAGAGGATATGAACAGACATTTTTCCAAAGAAGATATACGGCCAACAGGCACATGAAAAGACATTCACCATCACTAATCATTAGAGAAATGCAAATCGAAACTACAATGAGATATCACCTTATACCTGTTAGAATGGCTATAATCACCAAGACAAGAAACAACAAATGTTGGAGAGGATGTGGAGAATTGGGAACCCTCAAACACTGCCAGTGGGAATGCAAACTGGTGCAGCCACTATGGAAAACAGTATGGAGATTTCTCAAAAAACTAAAAGCTGAAATACCATATAATCCAGCTATCCCACTACTGGGTATTTATCCAAAGAACTTGAAATCAACAATTCAAAGAGACTCACGCATCCCTATGTTCACTGCAGCATTGTTCACAATAGCCAAGACGTGGAAGCAACCCAAGTGCCCAACAACTGATGAATGGATAAAGAAGATGTTGTATATACATACAATAGACTACTACTCAGCCATAAAAAAAAAGACAAAATCATCCCATTTGCAACAACGTGGATGGGTATTATGTTAAGTGAGATAAGCCAGACAAAGACAAACACCATATGAGTTCACTCATACGTAGAAGATAAACAAACACATGGACAAAGAAAAGAGATTAGTGGTTACCAGAGGGGAAGGGGGTTGGAGGGTGGGCATAAGGGGCACATATATACAGTAACTACAAATAATAATGTACAACTGAAATTTCAATGTTATAAACTATTATGACCTCAATAATAAGAAAAGTCTGTTAATGAATATGCATTAAAGTAATCAAAGTAACCTATTACATGGAGAATTCATTTAATTACTTTTATAATACACATATGCACAATCCCCCTCACAGCCCCAGTTAAATGGGCAGCCTTAGTCAGCCATGTTTGTACCAGTCAAGAACAATCATGTCCCTAACCCCAACTAACTGGATGAGACATGGGCAGCCAATCCGAGACCAGTCAATCCACTGGCCTATTAATCATCAAATGTTCTCTCTTGCAAATTAGATCCAAGAGGCAGACAGAAAGATAGTGCTTAAGCTGCAGGTCTTGTGAATTTGGGTGAAGCAATAAATAAGTAAAGAAAGCTGGTCTGTATAAAGAACAGGAACAAAAAGCAGACATCCACCTGGGAACCTAAAACAAGAGTCAATGGTCCTTTGGTCCCTAAAGGACAAAGAAAACTGTTCCTATTTTTTAATTCTTTTAAGACTTAATGGTATTTGTTTTCATGTTGGACTGCTGAGATCTAAATACTTTACTTGAACCAGTCTAAGTGGGTCCTTTTGCTGCAACCATGTAAGCTTTTACTATAACAATTTTATACTCGCACAGCTATTTTCATTCTCCACAACCAAGGACATACTCTTAAGGTTTCAATTAGCATCTATAGGCAGATAACTCTAAAACTCTAAAAATGCTCTTCTAAGCACTACATGACAGGTTTCAGACATCTAGAAAACATCTAGTACTATAATAAGCTCTCAACCTAGGATGAATAACAAAGCGCTAACATCAAAAACTGGTGTCTTATAATTAAACAGGTAAAATCAATAACCATCACTTAGGTAGCAAAAAGGAATCATTAGGATAGAGAAGTTTTGTGTAGATGAACTCAAACAGTACGTAGCGCCTTTTTTAGCTTGACTTTCAAGATTCATTTGTGTATGCATATATCAATATTTTGTTCCTTTTTGTTGCTGAGTAGTGTTCCTTTATATGGATGTGGTGTATCCATAGTGTGGTATTATTTTTTTAATCTACTCACCAGTTCATAAATATTTGGGTTGTTTGCCACTTGGTATAACAGTCACGTGTCACTCAACGACAGGGATAGATGCTGAGAAATGTGTCGTTAGGCAATTTCGTCATCGTATGACCATCACAGAGTGTACCTACACAAACCTAGATGGTATAGACTACTACGCACCTAGGCTATAGGTACTAATCCTATGGGACCACCATAGTATATGCAGCCCACCCATTGACTGAAACGTCGTTAACATGGCTCATGCCTATATTATATAAGGCTACTACAAACATTCTCAAAAAAGACTATGTATGCCGGTGTTTTCATTTCTCTTGGACAAATTCCAGGGAGTGGGAATGTTGGGTCATATGGTAAGTGTGTGTTAACTTTATAAGAAGATGCCAACTGTTTTCCAGGGTGGCTACATCATTTTTCTTTGCCACTTGCAACATGAGAGTTCTAGTTGCTCCACATCCTCAGCAACACTTGTTACTATCAATTGTTGTTGTTTTTCTTTTTAAATTAGGAATTCTAATCAATGTGCAGTGTAACCCATTGTGGTTTTAATTTGCATTTCTCTGATGACAATGTTAATAACATTGAACATGTTTATACAAGTGTTGTTGGCCTTTCATATATCTTCTTCGATGGAGTGTCTGTTTAGATCCTTTGTCTTTTTTTTTAAAAAATTGGCTGGGCCAGCCCCGTGGCTTAGCGGTTAAGTGCACGCGCTCTGCTATTGGCGGCCCGGGTTCGGATCCCGGGCACACAACGATGCACCGCTTCTCCGGCCATGCTGAGCCACGTCCCACGTAGAGCAACTAGAAGGATGTTCAACTATGACATACAACTATCTACTGGGGCTTTGGGGGTGAAAAAAGGAGGAGGATTGGCAATAGATGTTAGCATAGAGCTGGTCTTCCTCAGCAAAAGGAGGAGGATTAGCACGGATGTTAGCTCAGGGCTGATCTTCCTCACAAAAAAAAAAAAATTGGGCTTTTTTATTGTATAAGTTCTTTGTATATTACAGGTACAAGTCCTTTTTCAAATACATATTTTGTAAATAAAGAAAAAGAATTCACAACATTTAGATAGTAATAGGAACACTACTAAGAACTTTGATGCACAATCTCCATTACCATCAAGTGACAAAATAACAAAGTAAAAATATGTAAACATTTTTAATTGGTCACTTCCAAGTCATATACTTTGTTATTTTCCTTCCTCTAGCTATTATATGATTATTCAATGTGTTTCTCACACGCACATTCTGCTTCCTAAAAATACTTCCAAATATGCTCACATCAAAAGTCAAGGTCTATTTCCTCTATCACTCCCCACTTCTCAGGAATGCATGGTTCACAACAAGGAAGTAATACTTACTGAATGATTCAAGGTATAAACTAAATTAAATAAAAAGAATTTTGTTTAGGGGATCAGAAAAGTCAATGAGAGAGATATTTTAAATCAAGTAAATAGAAAATCAAAGTAACAGAAAATCTGACATACCAAAAAAACCACGATGCTATGAAAATTTCAAATAACATTATGACTAAAATATTACTATGTTTTCAATAAACGTTAGTCCAGTAGCTTCTGATCCTTAAGACTCAATTTTACGAATATAAGGCACAAGAAAGTAAATCAAACTGCTACCACTGAATGCAAGAAGCAGAAGTAGGAGTCAGAGCACACAAAATAACAGTCAAAAATCAGTGACCTAAGCAAAAAGGCAGCAAACCCAACAGTGTATATTCTGTAGGAAAATTATTAATAGATTAATAACTCAAGGGATAATCCACATTCTAAGCTGTCTACAGTTACACTGTCCAATACAGTAGACAGTAGCCACATGTGCCTATTTAAATATAAATTTTAAATAATTAAAAACTCAGTTCTTCAGTTGCATTAGGCACATTTCAAGTGCTTAGTAGCCATACTGGGACAGCACAGATGAAAAAAACTTTCATCATTAAAGAAATTCTATCAAACAGTGCTGGCCTAGGGTATTCAGCAGGCCCAACTAAAGACCCTAAGGGAGTTTTAACTGTCATAAGATTTTTTTCTCTATGAAGAAAATATAGCATTTTGCTTTAGTATTTAATTATTCTTACTGAATACTAAAAAGAGAAGAATATGTATATCATATATGTAAGGTATAGACAAATAAATGGAATATAAATACTCTCCCTTGGAAAGCAACCACAATGCTGAATTTAGCTTTATCATTTTCTTGCTTTTTAAAATAATTTTACCAGGGGCCGGCCCCGTGGCTTAGCGGTTAAGTGCGTGCGCTCCGCTGCTGGCGGCCCGGGTTCGGATCCCGGGTGCGCACCAACACACCGCTTCTCCGGCCATGCTGAGGCCGTGTCCCACATACAGCAACTAGAAGGATGTGCAGCTATGACATACAACTGTCTACTGGGGCTTTGGGGGAATAAATAAATAAATAAATTAATTAATTAAAATAAAATAATTTTACCAAACATGTTTCCCTAAAAATGTAGAGTATTGCTTTATTTTACATTAGTACAATCACACTTTTTCTTCATATCACTTGTTCTTTTCACTATTTCCACTTACTCTCAAGTTCATTCTCATCCATCCAAATAATACCACTACTCCATATACTACAAAGAGACCAGTTTTCTTCAGAAAAAACTAGACCTAAACCAATGAAATCATCACCTATGTATTGAAGCTATGTAAGTTACAAACACAAGGCTTAAGGTTCCCAATGATTCTCTATAAAACAAATGAATGTTTTTTCATATACATTTAACTGGTCACAAACCATTAAGAAATGACTTCCTTGTGCATCAAAGACAGATCTTAGTTGCTATACTTACATATATCTTTTCATTTCTGGTTCTTGTCTTGTGTTTTGTTTTTTAATAGTAGAGCAGTGGTTATCAAAGTGTGGTCCCTCAAACAGCAGCATCAGATCACAAGGGAACTTGTTAGAAATGCAATTCCTCTGCCCCATCCCAAACCTACTGAGTCAAGCAGTCTGTTCTCTAACAAGCCCTCTAGGTGATTCTGATGTATGCTCAAGTTTAAGAACCTCTAGAGAAGTATCTCCACAATGAGTATACATAAGATGTTAAACACATGTACAAACGGATTTCTAACAGTTAACCAATAAACTCCATTACCAAAATTAGATTATCCTTTTTCCATTTGTTGAATTTTATAAACTTCAGCTTACCCTAAAATATTATATTCAAAACAACTTAATTGGCCAAAATACACACAATTAATTCTCTCTATATGTATACATATAGTTATTCTCTTTCTCTCTATATATATATAGTTTGTGTGTATATAGTTTGTATCCTAAAAGTGTCCAATTTTCTTAATTAATTGTTTTCTGATTATGGTCTCTTTTTTTAAACCATTTTTCTCACATGCACCTTGGCCAGTTGCCCTTTTTCGTTAAATAACATATGTGTCCTTTTCTAATTTTTCTATTTCTAACAGGGAGATTTTTCTTCTTGACGATTTATAGAGGCTGCATATATATTATGGCTCTCAATCCATTATATATTGCCAATACTTTCCCAAATGTGTAGTTTGCCTTTACACATTTTAACTTAGTCTTATAATAGAATTTGGCATTTTTAAATTAAAAATATTTTAGCATATAGATAAACACAAAATAACATGACTCATGTATCCCCCCAGATTTAACAAATGTTAACATTTTACCATATTCATTTCAGACCTTTAGGAAATAAAATATCACTGATAATAGAATTTTTTACAGAGTAAAATCCTTTTATATTCCCTTTAAGTTTCTTTCTTATTAGGCTTAGTTCTTTCTTACTATAAAATCAGACAAAGAGTCAACCATTATTTTTCAGAAAGTTTACTATATTACAGAAAATTTCAAACATATATAAAAAGGAAACAGCTTACACTATTATCAATTCATGGTCTACCTTGTTTCACTTGTACCAGGGGTCAATGAACTTTTTCAGTAAAACGCCACAAAGATAATATCTCACGTTTTTGTAGGCCCATGGGTCTCTGTTCCAATTACTCAATTCTGCCTCTATATCTCAAAAGAAACCATAGGCCATATGTAAATGAATGGGTGTAGCTATGTTCCAATAAAACTTTTATTTACAAAAACAAGCTTCAAGCTAAATGGGCTGTAGCTTGTAGCCCCTAATCTATACCCCTACTCACCTCTTCATTCCTGTATTTTTTTTGAAGAGCTTCCAATATATCATTTCAACTGTAAATATTGCTGTAGCTCTAAAAGATAAAGGCTCCTTCTTTAAACGTAATTTACCAATACCATTATCATATGTAAAGGAGTTAACAAAAATTCTTTAATATAAATATCCAGTGTTCAAACATGCAATCATTTCATAATTTTTAATTTTAATGTTTGTTTGCACCAGGATCCAAATAAAGTCCAGACACTGCAACTGCTTACTTAATATGTTTAAGTCCATTTTAATTTTTAGTAGCACTGTTGCAGTGGGTTAAAACTGTGTCTCCCAAAAAAAATTATGTCCAAGTCCTAATACCAAGTTCCTATGAATATGACCTTTTATTTGGAAATAGGGTCTTTGCAGATGTAATTAAGTTAAGGATCTCAAGATAAGATCCTCCTGGATTTAGAGCGGGCTCTAAATCCAACGACTGGTGTTCTAATAGAGAAAGGAGAGAGAAATTTGAGACCAAGACACAGGGAAAAAGACTATGTGAAGATGGAGGCAGAGACTGGAGACATGCTACCACAAACCAAGAAACATCAGGGTGCCACCAGAAATTGGAAAAGGCAAGGAAGGACATGCTGCTAGAGACTTCAGAGGGAGCGTGGCCCTGCCAGCACCTTGATTTTGAACTTCTGGCCTCCAGGACTGTCAGGGAATAAATTTCTGTTATTTTAAGCCACCCAGTTTGTGGCCATTTGTTATGGAAGCCCTAGGAAACTAATATACCTATCCAACAGAACTTTCTGCAATGACAGAAATGTTCTATATCTGCAGTGTCCAATGTGGTAGCCACTAGCCACATATGGTTGCTGAGCTTGAAATGTGGCTAATGCAAATGAGGATCTAAATTTTTTATTTAATTTTAATTAATTTAAATTTTAAAATGTATTCCCTCATGTTTTTTCTTTGAGATTTGGG